ATTTATTTAGACTCGTTAGAATGATAAATGTAATTACTAATCGAATAAAATTTCATAATTGAAAAGAATTTCATTTTGACAGATGTATATGAAAGTGCCACTGCATCGAACATCCAGTGGAAAGAAAATTAAAAATAAAATATGCTAACTAATCATGTGAACATCCAGTGAAATACAAGCAACAAACGTATAATGAAACAAAATGTAAAAATAACGATAGTGACCTACATGCTTGGTAATAATTCATATGCACTTCAGAGAAAAAGGAAGATAAATAAGACAAAAATAAAAAATAATTGAGTTACTCAAAATTCTTAATGACACGACAATTTCTTGTTCTGTTGTGGAATGTTGTGAAAAAACAATTAATAGGTGAGAAGAAGAAAAAATAATTGTTGTAAATGAAGTTTTTAAGAGGCAAGTAATATGGGTAAGAAATTACATTAAATATGATCATAATGAGTGAATAAATAAATTTGACACGTTAAAAAAGAAATTGTTGAACTTCTCATTTAATTTGTGTAAAAAGTTGCTTAAAGAAGCACCTAATGGGTGAATAAATTCGTTCGCACACATTTAGGGAGAACTGAATGTGGAGGATTCAAATAGGGTTATTGAATTTTTTTTTTATTACTCACCAATTATGTAATTTAAGCATTACTACTCCCTCCATTTCATATTAATTAAATTATTGAGGTGTTTCACATCCTTTAAGAAAAGAAGATTAAGACATAAATTAGACTTAACTTTTCATTTTTACCCTTATTAATTATTAACAAAATTATGATTAAAATAACTAAAGATTTATTAATAACTTATTCCAATACTAACTAATGAAGGGTAAAATTAGAAAAACATTATAAAAGTAGTCTTGAAAATTGAACAATTAAGTTAATTTGAAAAATGAAAAATGTCTCAACAATTCAATTAATATGAAATGGAGGGAGTATTTAATTTGATTTTAATTCAATGTCTTAAACTGTTGTTGAACTTGCATTTCAACCTTCAAGTAATAAAAATATTGTTGTATGATATTTAGTTGAATGTTTTATTGTAACACATCGGTATTAGAAAGAGCTAATTTTAGAAAGAGCCAAATTGAGAATTTTGCAAGTTATGCTTAAGTTGTGAGTTTTGAGTCAATTTCAAACGGTCATAACTTTCAGTATATGATGAGTTAGGTGGCCCATAAGATATCAACTGAAATATCTTTGAATCATCTTTCCAACGCCACCGAGTTTACTAAATTTGAGTTCGAATGAGAGAGATGCCCATTTGAAATCAGTCTGTCAAGTTTAGAAAATTTATGAAATAATAATAATAATAATAATAATAATAATAATAATAATAATAATAATAATAATAATAATAATAATAATAAATGAGGAAAGAATAAAAGAGAAAATAAAAATAATAAATGAGAAAAGAAGAAAAGTAATGTAATTTATTTTATTTTCTTATAAAGGTAACAATATAGAAAGAGAAAAAAAAATATAAACTAATAAAAAAAACCAAAAAAAAAAAAAAGAAGAAAGAAAGAAATAATAAAAATGATAAAAAAAAATAAAGAAATATTTAGATAAAGTGAAAAAAGTTAAACTAATAGTAATAAAAGGAGGGTGGAATTGTAATAAAATAGTGACATTGAAAGTGAGGAGTTTCAATGAAGATGACAATGAATTTTTGAAGAAGCTTGAAGAAAGAAAAAATAATAATAACGAAAAAAGGTCAAGATAATAAGAAAAACAAAAAAAAATATTTTATAACAAAACACTTACAAAAATAAAATTATATTTATTATTTTGAGGATGTTCACGCTCTTTAAGAGAGTATATACACTCTCTATGTCAAGTGAACAAAAATGATGTAATAATATCAGTTCAAACATAATTAGAAGGTTAATAGGACCGTCGCATAGATAAGATGTCTTTTTGAAAATTGGGGACAATTTCGATATCATTTTATATATTTTCTCTTTAATATACCTACAACATAGAATGATATGTACAGGTGACCAACAAATGTACATGGAGAGATGTTAAGAAAACCATGAAAGAGTTGTGGTCTAACTAGAAAGTCCTCTTGCTTATGTGATAGTCCTCTAGGTATAACCACATTTGCAGAGGCGTATCTAGAGGGGGTGCCGTGGGTTCACGTGAACCCATGCTCCCCTCTCTAAATCATATATAGTAGTGTTATATTTTTAAAAAAATATTTAAATATAGATGTGTGAACCCATGTTCAAAGTATCATATAAAAATGCGATGATGATTGGGTGCACTTATCTAACTGAGAGATAGAAATTTAAATCTTATATCTATCTTGTTTCTTTGAGTAACACTTTTTCAAGTGGTTATCAGTTACACTTTTTCAAGTGGTTATCAGTTACACTTTTGTCGTTTCAACTAATTTTTCTTTTGTTTTTTTCCTTTATTCTTTCAAAATTTTCAAGTGTATTACATTGAGAATTCCTAAAAAATTTAGCATTGTAAATTTTTTATATAATTTAATCAAATGTGTATATTAAAATTTAAAACTAGTAGTATTATATATTTTGGATCTATAATTTTTAAACTTTAATGATTCATATTATAAACTAAAAGTCAAATCGATCAAATTTATATTAGAGATACATTTTTTCGTAATCATGCACCCATCTAGCCGAGATCCTGGATATGCCTCTGCACATTTGTGCGGGTGTTATTTCTATGTATACCTCCTCGTGTGAGTCCCCATACAAGAAGGAACTTCTCACATTTAACTAATAGATCATGATCTTTGTATAGCCAAGAAAAGTAAGATTCTAATACAAGAGCATCTTCAATTCTATTATCTATTTTAATCTTTACATATATAGTACTCAGTTTTTTCAGACAATCAATTCCAATTCAATTATGTATTTTACTCGCTAAAAAGAATTTTTTTCTCTATCCTTAATATTATATTATTATTATTTATTTCATTCTTATTTTCTTATTTCATAATATAAATATTTTCTTTCTTTTTTCCAAATAATCACTTTATATAATTTTCATGTGATATAAAATTTTATTTTTTGAAATTCATTGTCTAATATTAAATTATATTTTATTTTAATTTTCTAAATAACATAAATTGTAAGCAAATATTATATAATATACAAATTAATGGACAATTCAAATAAAAGTGAAATCATTAATAAAATACAATTATATAAACATTTCATAAATATTCAACTTTCAAGATTATTACGTTGCTCCCATAGATGCTCCATTAATGCATTACATAGTTCAAAATGAGCATTTTTGTCCTTCATTTTTTTTATGTCTAGCTAAAAATTGTTCAAACCGGAACCGGAGATTTTCATCTACCATCATTTATGTGGTTGCAGTTAGAGCCTCTACGACATCTTGAATTGGTGCATTAAGATGATGTTCATCCTTGATTATCATATTATGTCATTAAATACATTTAGTCATTATATCATGTAGCACTTCCTTTCTCCACAAACGTGAATGTCCTTCAATAATTACAAAACGTGATTGCAAAACTCTGAATGCACGTTCAACATCTTTTTGGCACGATTCTTGTTTCATTGTGAAATATTTCTTCTTTTAATATGGATCACGAATAGTTTGAACAATTGTAGACCATTAAATTTTGTGCATTCTTTATAATGAAAATTAATAATAAAATCTAAGTATATTAAAGTGACAAAATTTTAAAAAATGGAATATTATTAATTCAGGATGGAAGTAGTATATGTTAAATAATATATTTTTAAAAAATATTATATTGTATTTAAAAAAATATGAATATTAGAGATTTAATTAATGGTCTTATATGAAAAATTACAAAATAATAAAAATAATAATAAAATAATAAAAAAGTGAAACGGGAGTATGAATAGTAGTTCTCCACCTCTCTATAAAAGAAGGATAGTGAAATTCTCTATTTTACTCTCTAAATATAGAGAATAGAAAGTAAAATAGAGGTGAATTGGAGATCGTTAAATGATCTTTGGCTCAGTAGCTCCTTCCAATGCCAAACATGTTCAATGTTCGAAAGAGAGATCTAAAAAATTCTTAATCTTGTGACTTGTGAGTTCTTTGGAGGTTTTATATATGAAATAAACATTTTATGCTTTTAAAAAAAAAAAGTAAAATAGTGCTGTAAATTAAAATTTTGTAGATATGGATTGTTGTCGTATATATCCGTAAAAAAATAATTGGGGTGGGCATGGTATAGTACGGTAATTAAAACTTTTGGTAGTGTGATTTTGGTATTCAATATTTAAAGCATTATACCATTACTATTACAATTTAATTCGGTATGGTTCGGTATTTTAAAGTTTAATTTCGGTATTCTACAGTATAGTAAATCGATAACCATAGTTTGTTAAACTTCGACTAATGTATTTTCATATAATAGAGTATTATGACTTCAACAACAAAAAAAAGGTCTCAATTGTATCATACAAACACATTACACATGTAGAAATATATATTCAAAATAAAGTACAAACAACTACTTTGATAATCAATTATATTTCAAATACATTTCAATCAAAATAGAGTAGTTAAAGTTTCAACTTCTAAACATTTAGTTTATACTAATACTAAGTTACATATTTGTTGGTATTTTTTTAATAATATATGTATTATTCATGTAACTATATACTTTGGTATAATATTTGATAATTCAATATGATATTTTTAAATACCAAATACCGTACCGAATACCAAATAAAAATAAATGTATACCATAGACCAACCGAATATCATAATACTAAAACCACGATATTAATTTTTTTTCAGTACAATATGGCATTTCAGTATATACCATATCATGCGCACCCTCTATTTGTAAATCTCCCATAGAATATTGAGTGCAATCCACTACTCATCCAGTATGGCTGAAGCTTAGTTTGAAAATATGATTCTCAATGAAGAATTCTATGACTATCATATGACCTATATTTATAACCGAAATTGATTTACAGGTGATGAATCTTAGCAAAAGCACTATACTTGACGTCCACATACAAACTATACAAGGGCTGCTGAATTCAAAGTTTAAGAGTACCAAAGAGAATATTTACAGAAAAATATTTGCACTGTTCCATGCTACTTCTCCATAAGAAAATTAGAATATGACACAGATCATTACCTACAATGGATATTTTAAAGCTGAAAGCCCAACTCCATAAATACCCACCCTCACAATTTCCCCAGTACAAAACAAGGACCTTGCACTACTCCAAAAGGCAGCGGGTTACAACTCACACAAGACTAGCACAAATACAAAAACCCTCAATTTCCAAGAATTCACACAAGTCATGATTTACGCACACGATCACGCCAAGAACCTTGTTGCATTGCCACTGCCTAAATTCATATAATACAAGAATGATTAGGCAGAGTGGAACGAAAAAATGAAGATAGAAGGGTGAAGACCTAACCATGGTACTCTAATAATTAGCAAAAAACTACTATGACAAGATTTAAGATATCACCTGCCCACTGATGAGACTTGTAGCAGGGGCAATTTCAGATATGTCCTTTTTGCCATTACCATCTTCTGCTTCATCATCTGTTTCTGTGGAAGGTGAACGTGGCAGATGTGAGGGAGCTCCAAAAATAGCCTCATCATGAGCAGCCTTAATTTGTTCCTCCCTCCTAGTCTTCAAATCAACCAAAAAAATTAACAGCACAAACATCTGTTCACGCTCTTTGGCATGATCAGAGCCCATTTGCAACAATGCAGTTATGAGAAGGAAATGATACAAAGAAAAAGAGGTGTACCTCCACCGTAGAAAACCGAAAGCTTTTACCAATGTGGTTGACTAAAGCACCATCATCTTCTACAGCTAAAGCAATCAACAATGTATCAGTGTCGGCAAATAAAGGAACTTTTCTGTCTACAAAAACATTGATATAAGCAAGAACGGAGGTTTGGAAGCTTAGGGAGTTCAAATTTTGTCTTTAACGCTCTGGTTCGAGTCCCACTAAGTGCACTATGTCCCACCTTTTTTTGCTTTGGAAAGTCCCATAGGCTAAGCGATGGGCTCTCAACTTTTGAGCTCAGAATACAACCCAATGAAAAAGCCCTCGTTTTTGGGCGCAATCTGAAACTCTTACTTTTTTTCTCTCATTATTTTCTCATTGCTTTTGGGCTCAATGTGAAGCTATATTCTTTTTTTTTCTCTTCTATGTTATTTCTTCTTCTCAATTAGGCTTTGTTTAAATATAGTAGGCACATTCTTTGTATTTTTGTCTTTTATTCTTCTTATTTCTATTGCTCACTTCGTTTCTTCATAACTCTCATTCCATGTACTAACCGGAAGAAACTATTTAAAAAACAATGAATTGCTATTTAACTTGCAATTGAGTTAGACAAAAATTTATATAAAATAAGGTAAATTTAATTTAATCAAATGAAGAAATTTGAAAGTCGTGAATATCCTTTTTAACAATATCTATTCAATTGAATTTCTTTCTTTAATTTCATAGTATTTGTTTCTTATTTTTTCCAATTCTATTCTAAAGAGATGGAAACGAAGCTAAAGTTATTTGAGTTATATATAATATTAGTAACTCAATCCCACCTTGTAAATAAGCTTAGTGATTTTCAAAGAAACATATGATTGAATGGACACTAATTCAAAATTTAAAGAAAGTTCAAACTAAAGTAAAATACTGCAAAATAAAAGAAAATAAAGAACACAAGAATTCTAAAAGGCTCAATGAGGTAGGATCGAAGTAGGAAGAAGCTAAACACGACATGACAATGCATCCCTTCCTTGTCTCGCTCCATTTTTCATCTTATAATTTTCACATATTTGCTTCTTAATTTATACTTTGAACCCCCTCCACTGAGATCATGGCTCCAATATTGTGTCCCATGAGAAACAAATAAAAATATCATTATGCCCCAATAAGAAAGTCACCTTAGTTTCATGCAAACATCACTCATATGTATACATGTAATAAACCAGCTTTGCTGTAACAAACCAGAGTACATTTGTTTTATTTGTAGTGAAAACCTCATCCAACTTAAGATGCTTCCTTGAGATATGAATATTTCATGAAATGAACAAATCCTTCATACACAAGCTACGTAACCTAAATGTTGTTTTAGTTTGCATCTTATATGCACATTGACCAATAGTGTATTGGAATTCTGCATCCGATGAAATCACCATTACGTTGAGGATTTCTAGCAGGCTACAAATAGCTATACAAGTCGGTATAGCTATACAAGTCGGAAATAAAGGAAGAATATTGAAGTCCATCCTTTTAACTAGCGCAGTGCAAGACACCTGGAATCTGATTTTAGTTATATGCTTCACCCTATTACCATATTAATAAGCTAAAAGAGCTTCAAAGCTATTTTTACCTGTTTTTAAACCCATCCAAACACACTCAGCACTGCCTGATTGCAGCAACAATAAGAATCCTACTACAAGTGATAAGGAAAAGGATTCAATTTGACTATGTTCATATGTAAGCAATAGCAACCAAATAGCTAACCTTCAATCTTGTTGTCATCCAAAGGGGCATCCTTGTCAAAGTCAAAACGCTCCCATCCAGAGCCCATGCTTTTTGTTTCATCTTTTCGAACTGTCAAAAGGAAACAAAAGAAAACAACGGGCTAATTAAATCCATACTCATATTAAGTTCAAGTGATAAGCTACCACCTCTTCCAGCTTTTGTATGAGCTTGTAAGATAAGTAGACAACTAACATGAAACAGAAATGTACAAAAAGCAGAGCAAGAATTTAGGAAAAGGTTACTTCAGGTAAACCTATAAGCAACAATATGTTCTTATGACATACTCCCTCTAGTCCATATTAAGTAGGTGTTTGGACATGCGATTTAATCTTGTAATTTGAAACCATGAATGAAATCAACGTTTGGACATGCGATTTCATATCATGAGATGAAATCCCAAATTCTCAAAAAAGCCAAATCATAATTTCACAATTTTCACATATAAAATAGACTCACATGTTTATATTTTGTAAGGAAAAAAAAATCATTTGTATCTACATAATTTTTTGCGAGAATACTAGAGTAATGAATTTTTCACGAAATATGAACATAATGATATTGACCGACAAACAACTCAAATAAAGAGTAATACACTACAACTCATTAGGGAACTCATGTTCAATTGTTACTTTTTTAGTGAACTAAAGTTCGATCATAAATGTTGTATTTTCTTTTAGAACAGCTTTGTGATAATGTATTATACTTTTGTTATGAACTTTTGCTTATTTCGTAAGATTGTATAAAGAGTTGGGCAATTTTGATAATTTGAGGATTTTATGTTTATGAGCAAAAACTACAACTTAAGAATCCAAATTGCATGTACAAACAAAACTTCAATTCCATCTTATATGATTTTTTTTTAGAAAGGTAACATTCGTATGTATTGACTAAAATCAGTACAACATTGTACTGAAAGCCATAATTACAACTTATCAACAAAACAAGATATCTGAATCTAAATCTAAATAGAGCCAAGGATCTGAATAATTGACTCAGTATCCTCTAGGTACACTTACACCATTTGATCTTCTGAAGATCACAACTTTTGCTATGAAAACATCTAGCATTTCTCTCTCTCTCTCCAGATTGTCCAGCAGATACAGGCTAGGACAATCCTCCATCTATTTTTGTCTGAAGCTCCCCCACCTACCTCTTCCCAACTGTAGAGGAGGTGGGTGATTCTGTTAGGCATAGTCCAAACAACACCCCTGAGGCTGATAAAAATCCTCCAAAGTTAGGTTGTTATCTTGCACGGTAAAAACAGATGGTTGGCTATCTCAACCTTTTCTCCACATAAATAGCATCTAGAGCACATAGAGAACTTCCTCTTCTTGAGATTTTGTTGTGTCAATATTGCTTCTCTTGCCAGTAACCAAGTAAAACATGTCACCTTGAAGTAATTTTTGTTTTCTAGATCTGTTTTCATGACCATTATGGTGGCTGCTGGCCACCTTTATTCAAAAACTTGTGTTGAGTTCACCTTAACCATGCCTTTGCTATCTTTGTTCCACGATAGTCTATCAGCCTCATTCTTGTCCCTTTGAACTCCGCCAGAGCTCTAAAAATTCATTCACAGTTTCAATTTCCCAGTCATTAAAACTCCTTCTAAACTGGATGTTCCATCCTTGTTGTGTCCAATTGTCAGCTAAACTCATTTGTTGATGTACTACCAACACATACATCTCAGGGAAAAGGGTTTTTAAACTACCATGTCCCAGCCATTTGTCCTTCCAAAAGGAGGTCATACTTCCATCGCCTACCCTCATAGTTGTGTTATTTCTCAAAAAGGCTAAAAGATTCAGATAGACCTCCATAAACTTACACCATAGGGTGTAGATACCTCCATTTATTCTCCTCTCCATATTTAGCTTTAATTACTTTGCCCTAATGTGCTTGAGGTTCTTGTGAGTATCTCCATAACCACTTCAGCCTGAGTGCCTTGTTTGAATTTTCAGATTTCTCACTCCTAAACCCCCTTGCTTCTTTCCCCATAGAACCTCGTTCAATTTGACCAAGTGTCAAACAATAGTCATTTTCCTCAATCCCTTTCCAAAGAAAATCTCTCCAATCTTGTCTAAACTTTTTATCCCTCCATCAGAAATGGGAAAGATAGACATCATGTTAGTAGGGAGAGCATCCAAAAGAAAATTGATGAGAGTGACTCGGCCACTTAAGGAGATGTGTTGAGATGTCAATCTAGTTAACTTCTTCTCACGCTTTTCAATCACTGAGTTCCAAATGTTCATGGACTTTAACTTGGCACCTAGGGGCATAACAAAGGAGATATACTGAGATTTCCATCTAGTTAACTTCTTCTCACACTTTTCAATCACTAAGTTCCAAATGCTCATGGCCTTTGACTTGGCACCTAGAGGCATACATAGGTACATAAAAGACAGGGAGCCTACTTCCCCTCCTAGAATTCCAGACAACTCCAACATATTAGGAACTTCATTGATTGGGAACAACTAGCTTGCCCTTTCTCAACATCACAGAAGATTAAGGTATCATCAGCATACTGCAAGTATGTGACTTCCATGATGGCATTTGAACTTGGGGTTTGGTTTGTGACTTCCACAAAACCTCTTAGACATTCATTTTTTTTATGATAACCGAGAAATTCGCCTGTGACGCGCCCTTTGGGCTGTGCGGTGGATAATGGGCCCTCCCCTCGACCCTTCTCCACTTAAATAACGGGTTTTGCTTTGCATGGTGTGGGGCATGAACCTGTGACATAAGCCACAAATACTCCACCTTTTGCCACTCGAGCTAGGCCTTGGGAGCCTCTTAGACATTCATTATAAAGAGAGGAGACAAAAGGATCCCCCTGCCTCAAGCCCCTATTTGTAGGGAAAAGCCTCCAGGTGATCCACTGATAAGAGCTGAAAATCTTTTGGTGGAGATGCAATATCTTACCCAGTGAACCCACTTCCTTCCAAAACCCATACTCAAGAGCATTTTCAGCAAGAATTCCCCGTTTACATGGTCATATGCCTTCTCAATATCCAATTTGCACAAAATTCATGCCTTCCCTCGAATGATTCTAGAATCTACCACTTCATTTGCAATTAGGATAGCATCCATTATTTGTCTATTTTTTATGAAAGTCATTTGTTGAACATCTACCAACTTATCAACACCTCTTCAATCTTTCCAGCACCTTTGATAACAGTTTGTAGACACTACCTATGAGATAGATATGTTTGAAGTCTTTCAGTTCCTTAGCTCCATTCTTGTTTGGAATCAAAGCAATGTATGTGGCATTGAAACTTTTCTCAAAGACACCATGAGTAGAAGTTCTTGAAAGTTTTCATGATATTTTACTACATCCCAACATTTGATGTAGAACCCCATTGTGAAGTCATCTAGACCAAGAGCTTTGTCCATTGCACACATCTTTAAACATGAAAATACTTCTTGTTCCTCAACCTCCCCTTATAGAGCTTCTCTCTCCTCCTTAGTGATAACCGGACAATTGATCAAGTTAATTAAAGGTCTCCAACCTATGTTTTCAGAATACAACTTCTGATAGAACCCAATAACCCCCCTCCCCCAATTCTCAGTGGATCTATCAAAGGTTCTTCTTCAATCATCAGTTGGTCAATATTAATGCTTCTTTTATCTGCATTGGCCATTTCATGGAAAAATTTGGTACTTGTGTCTCCCTCTTTCAGCCAAAGTGCGCTTGATCTTTGTCTCCATGTTATCTCCTCTTTTTTTCAGTGCTCTTCATAATCTATTAGAGAAGATGCCTTCAAAGCTGCCTCTGATGATGTTAAAATGTTGTTCTCCATTATTGTATCTAGAATGGTTAACTCGCTCAATATTTGGACATTTTGCATTCTTGGATTTCCAAAGCTCATGTTGCTCCACTCCTTCAGTTTACCTTTTAAAGCCTTTAATTTACATCCAAGGATGTAATCAGGCTTCCCATGAAAGACAAATGACTCCCACCACCCTTTGACTCTTTCCACAAAACCCTCAGCCAACCACCAGGTATCAAACTTGAAATAGGATTTGTTGTGATCCCAAGCTCCACATTGTACTGCAATTGGATTGTGATCCAAGCATAATCTCTCCAACACAACTTGTTTAATTTTGTTGAAACTGTCATCCCACTACTTATATATCAGAATCCTATCAATTCCAGAAGCAGCATTGTTGTTGTCTCCTTAAACAAACTTTTGACAACTCTTATTTCCTCCTATACATGTTCTCTTTCAAACCTACAATTTGGAGCATATGCTTCTATTATATGACACTTGTAATCCTGCAATAGAGCCTCAAGTTTACATGTAAGAGTGTAAGAGCCAATTTATAGAACTTCCCCTCTCGCTATCCCGTAACATCAGAATTCCCCTCTAGTGCCACTAGCTTGAAGACAAGCATATTTGCCCCATCTTCCACCCCATAATTCTTTTATCATATCTTTAAACTCCCCCTCTAGCTTAGATTCCTGTAGAAAGACTACGTCGGCATTTCAATTGAGAATTAAGCTCTTCACCAATCTTCTTTTATCCCCACTATTAAGTCCCCTTACATTCCAGGACACAAATTTTACTTTCATGGTAAAACATTGTCCTCTTTCCCCCTCTCTTTTCCATCACTTTTGAAATTGATGTCAACAGATGTGAGCCTTTTAAGCTCCTAAAATCCCCTTGTATCTAGACCTCTTAGTGATGGAATCGTTTTCCATCTTTCTAGCCTGCTTGCAGCTGTCTATTTGCATAAGTAACTCCAACGACTCCTCATGTCCATGGAAATCGACTCCAAACATTTTCCCCAACTTAATCAGAATTTGTCTTACCCATGCAGATGTCTCCTTCTCCTTTCGGATAGTAAGACTCTGATCCTATTGGATTGGTTCTATATCTTCCACCATCCACACTTCAATTTGCGTGTCATTCTACAAGGAAACTATGGTGCTTTGGTCCTTTGAGATTTTCATAGCCAAATCAGCTTTGTCACTGCTAACCTCCTTTGTTGTGGCTTTCGGAATGCACTCCAGATGATTTCCTGTATCTCCCTCTCATATGATTTCATATGATGATTTTATCTCACATGGCCAAACGGGCCTTAAGTGAATTATTGCAACTTTTTTCATACTTCAAAATAAGTGAATTTTTCAAAATTCAAGAAAACTATTGGGATTTTTTTCCATATTTACCCTTCTTTTTAATGAGGTTCTTAACTACTTTACATTTTCTAGGAGAATAGTTTACAAATTAATCCAAAGGTTGCAGAAAGTAGCCTTCAATTCATGTCCTTAAATATTTTTCTTAAGAGGTGTGTCATACCCAACAATTCACTTAATATGGACTAGAGGGAGTACTTGTTTTGCTATTTCTTGCATGTATTGATGATAGGCTCAGACCTTCCTATTAGCAATCATCACTATTGTTATATCATTTTTTCTAGAAAGAGTTGCAGCCTCATAACCATCAGTAGATTTAGGTAATATCTCCTCAACTAATTAAACATATTAGTATCCACTGTATAGTACATTAAATAACCAAATTTACATATTAGGCATCCACAAGTGAAGAATATTATACAAACAGTAACACTTCTAAACCCAAAAAAGAGCAGAAAAAGAAGTTTAAAATACCACTTTCTGAAAGTTGAAATTTCATTTTGGCTTTGACTCTTTCAGCTGGAGTCTGTTCAACATAGAAACAAAACATAAACAACATCAGGCTTCAAAATCATTGTTTTGAGAGAAGGGTAACTTTGTATTCACAAAAAACTCATCATCTAAGAAATGATGAGGACATGGGGCTTCATAATCTAAAACAAAGTACTTACAGATCTTACAGGATACAATAAAAGAGTCCAACAAACAAACTTCAGGCTATCGATCCAAGATATTGGTTGCACCTACTTGGTAACCACTAACAATTAAGAGAACTTGCTGATGATGAAAGAAACATCAACCATGTAGTCATATAGGTGTTTTCCAGTCAATTATCACATATTTGAAGCCTCAAATGGATAGTTAGAGGAAATATATGGATATGGGAGAATTGATAAAATCCACTATGCAACTACAGTGTCATTTTTATATGCTCAATAATCAGAAGATTCCTCGTTTCTTTAGTTTTGACAAATTTGTAAGTACATCGGTCTGAAACACATTTACATAAATTAATAACGCTGGATAAGAATCTATATGACGCTTTACAATCCGGTCATCCTTATAGCATAAAACATAAAGGCAACATCTTCAGGCAACATTATCTAGGGGCGTGCATCGGTCGGTTCAGTTCAGTTTTGTGTATTATCGGTTCGATTTATTGGGTTTTGGTCGTTATAGGTTCGATTTTCGGTTTACCCAATAAGAAAATGTCCGTAAAATATTATATGACTTCTCACTTCTTTAAATGCTTTGACATAGTGAAACAAGAAAGATAATGAGATATTGCATCAATAAAAGAAAATATGTACGAAGGCTATAATTACATGTCACCACCAAAACATAGTATGAAATTTCTTATGTTAATCAAATTACAAACCTTTACGAACTTGCAAAAGCTACAACCTACAATTACAAACTAAAACTAAAATCAAATAGTCCAACAAGACTAAAACTAAAGCTAAAATCAAATAGCTACAATTGCGAACCCTTACTTTAGTCTTTAGGTTTTGAGTAATCAGTAAAGATTAGTAAAGCGGCCTAGTGTGACGTGGGTAGAGTACTAATAATTTGATATAGTTAAAACTTTGGAATTGTTAAACTGACTGCAAGCTTCTCTAGCGGACATGATCACAGTTTTGGTCACTAGTGGGATTCTCCTCAAAAACATACTGTCTAATTGAGATCAGGAAGTACAATTGACACTTTTGAAGACAATGAGAATATTGTACCAATCTGCTTCACTCACTGCCTAGAATGTGTATTATATTAGCAGCAAAAATGGCACAAATTATAATCAAACCAAGTTACATTGAGAAATAAGAATGAATTACCATATTTTGATAACCTTCAATCAATTTGCTATAATCTACCGTAGCAGCTCTATCTTTCCCAACTTTCTCCGGTCTTCCATCCCTTGGTGACACACTCCTTGTCCTCTTTGTACTCTGCTTCTCCTTTTGCCTTTCTCTTTTCCTTTGTTTATCTCTGTCTCTACTTCTACTTCTACTTGTAGACCTATGTGGACGCTTCGACCTATAAGCATCCCGGTTTTCACTCCACCTCGAGTGCCTCTCTTTGTCTCTGCTCCGGCTTCGACTCCGGCGCCTTAACTTCTGGCTTGGACTCGGGGTTCTCCGGCTGGAACATTTTTCGCGACTTGGACTTGTACTTCTAGTGGATTTTCCTTTGGAAACCCTAAAAGAAAGGCAATCTTTATTGTCTTTAGGTTTCTTCTTGAGCTTGTTTTGGATGGTTTGGACCTGAGCTTGTTTTTCGAACTCGGTGGTTTTGGACGGGCTTGATGCCCTGACAAAACTACTCAGAAATGAAGAGGAAGAAACGAGAGCAGAGCCACGGATGGGTACGGCGTCATTTGAAGTTGAAGAAAAGCCTAGACCTTGCTTGAATCTTGCGGCGCCTTCTCCTTTACGTGTGAGTTCGTCGTAGTATGCTGCGGCCTTTTCTTCCTCCATCTTATGGCGGAGCTGGGGGTAGTGCACCGCCGCAGACGGTGAGGTTTTTCTCTTCGTAGCAAAAGACCAAATGGCTGGCCTGTTGATATGAATGTTTGTGCCTCGACTAAAACCCCTTATTTTGGCTGATTAATTAGTAAATTACACACAGGTGTATTTATCCATGCTTCGTGGTAATAAAAAAATATTAATACTAAAAAAAATTAATCTTTAGTAATTTCTTTTTATTATATACTAGTGAACTTAGCCGCGCTTCGCGCGGTCATAATAACTCGTTAAATTCACTGAATAACTTTTTAGAATAGTTGAGTACTTAAAATATTCTATATATTTTTTATAGTGACATCCTAACGACTATATATTTCATATTTCAAGTTTTAATTTAGTTTATTATTAGTACTTAAGTTTTATATCTTTTATAATTTTAAATCGCTTAAGAGTCTTTTATCTTCTAAAAATAGTTTTTATATCACTAAACTTATGCTCCTTATTTTTGTAATGAAAAGAAAATTTGATTCAATAAGTTGAACTATTTATATACATGTTTATCTATACATAATTTTTCCTTTCGTTTATTTTGAAATTTATAAAATAATTACTTTTGCTTGTCTTAACAAAGTGTAAATTTTAGCTAAATCATAATGTATATAAATAATTACTTCTAGAGTCACTACAAAATATACTACGTAAAAAATATCATTCATGATTCTATCATATTTTTATAATTCTTTTAACATTCTATACAAAATTTTATATCGAAGTATTCGAGAAAAGCATTTCAATATAGATAGAAACAACCTATTTAAATTAATTATTTAAACTTGAAAACAAGCAATTAAAAAACCAAGAAACATAAGAAATAAATAATTAAAGTTGTACTTAGAATACATGATGGCTAATATTTATTTTAAGACATATTCTCTTTGTTTTACATGCCTCAAGTAAGTTAGATTAAGTTTGAAAATATTAATTTTTTTATGATTTCATCAAATATCATTGAATTGTGAAAACTTAATTTATCATTAGACCTTCATTTTGACGATTCTACCATTTTAAGTTTTCAAGACTTAAATTTTAAAAAGAAACAGAAAAACAATGAACAATAAGAAACTAAACTTTTGTTAGAAAAATAATGAATGTATATGGTAAGAAATAATTTAAAAAATTAAACTATCTGTATTTTTCATTTCTTTACAAATTCGTATCTCTCTCATCCTATCCAATCATAAGTAACTAAAGGAGACATTTGATCATTATTTTTTTATTTATTTTTTTGGATTTCAACTTTGATAAAAACACATTTTAACTACGAAATTTTAAAATTTAACTCAGAATTTTTAAAAACTTGAGAAATAATAAAAAAGTATTTTCAATCCAAATTATTGACAAAAAGTCAAAAGTAATTAGAATTTGCATTACACAACTCCAATTTTCATAAATTATTTTTCATTTTAAAATAACAATTATTTTCTTAAAATTATACATTGAAAAGTTTTCTGATTATGATTATATCAATTGTGCCTTATGAAATTATATAATAGAATATACTGAAGCAAACTCTCTTTGGTGTCTTATTCTCTTTTTACTTCCTTTTTTCTCTGGTAACTACGAAGGATAAAAGATAAATACATGATTAAAAGAATAACAATTCATAATATAAATAACGAACAACCTCTTTTGTTATATGAAATTTTGAGCAACATTTTTTTTTTGTTTATTGGCTTCTAAAACATTTTCTTCGAACTTGAATTTACATTTGTTCCTACAAAAATATAAAATTATAGTTTATAGTTCACATTTTATAGATACTCACGTCTTTTAATATGCTACTTTTGAAAAATGTATATAGAAAAGAAGATAACTATCCTCACTTCTTTTGGTATGTGTGAATTTATGAGTAACCTTTTTTTGTTATTGATTTACAAAATGTGTCTTTTAGGTTGAGACTCCAAATAACACTTCCTCATGCAAAATATAAAATTATAGTTTATAGTTCACATTGTATAGATACTCACGTCTTTTAATATGTTACTTTTGAAAAATGTATATAGAAAAGAAAATAGATATTCTCACTTCTTTTGGTATGTGTGAATTCTTTAGCAACCTGTTTAGGTTGAGACTCCAAGTAATACTTTCTCCTGCAAAATATAAAATCATAATTCAGGGTTCACCTTTCATAAAAACTCATATCTTTTAATAAATTCCTTTTGAAAAATGCATAAATAAAAGAAGATAGATATTCTTACCATCAATTCATATAAAAGAAAATAAATTTGAGTCTCCAAGTAACACTTCCTCCTACAAAATATAAAATCATAATTCATGGTTCACATTTCATAAACACTCACATCTTTTAATAAATCCTTCTGAAAATGCATAAATAGAAAAAGATAGATATTTTTACCATCAATATATATAAAAGAAAATAAATAATCTCACATTTAAAAATAGACAGTGAAATATCACCATCACCAAAAGTTGACTGAGCTTCTCAATCATTTGCAATGTTTCTTATATTTATATGTCCAAATATTATGTAACTACAAAGTATAATAACTCGTATGGTAAATGTCATTAAATATAATGACTTTTCACATTTTTGTATTTATTAAATTGCAATGAAACTTACCTTTTAAATTCCATAACTATTGCATTGATTTCTACATTTCCTTATAGAAACATAAGCAATACAAAGAAAGTAAAATAGTTTTAGGAGAAGAGATAAATAATAATGGTGAAGAATATCCTAAATATGGATAGATTAAAAAGGTGATTTCTTTTAAGAATAAAGTTGATTAATAATTAATTAAATGGTGATTACATAATGAGGTCTAATTAAAGAAAAAAAAATAACGTTTATGTTTCAATGAAGAAGAAACCAACCAATTTTCTATAGTTACTATATTAATTTAGGAATAATATAAATAGATCAACATTAATTTCTATTTTATATAGTTGGTATTTGTAAATCAGCCAACATTTACTGTGGTCTCTTTCTTTTTATGACCCGATTATGATCATTAGTTAAAGTTTCTATAGAGGTGTTTGAATAAAAAAATTATACGAACTGGATTTTTATGCACCTTTCAGGTCATTTCTGCTTCCTGCATTTATGAGATTTTTTTTTACCAGTGTCATGTATTGTTGTCTACCATATTGCCAGCATTTATGCAAAGAGCCAAATGTTTTGACACGGTTAGACTTACAATTTTATACATTTTTTTATTTTTCTACTTATTCAGAAATATGTTGATGCTACCATTCAACTGTAAGATTTGGAAAATTGTTTACTTTGAGCGGAATAATATTTTTTATGAAGTATATGTTGGAAATTGTTTCCAGGTAACCATCCATTGGAGTTTACAGGTATGCTACTTATTCCATTCATGTAACAGGATTTTTAGTGGATCCATCAGTACAATTGTGTTCTATACTCCGGCTAGGTATAGAGCGGCTTTGACAACATGGGTAAGATGTTGTATCATCACGAGGCTCATAGTGATGGTTGTCGGTTAGAGAAACTCCCCGGTAAGGTAAAGAGTATATATATATATATATATATATATATTCCAGTTTACTTCAGAATTTGTTATTATTGCATTATATTTGTGAAGTTTAAATGATTTTATCTCATATTCATATTCATGCTTTAGTTCAGTTGAGTTATATTTCAGTTTTTCAGTCCAATTATTGTTTCACTCAACCTTATTACATACTCGTACATTCAATGTACTGATATCATTCGACCTACATCGTCTTATGATGCAGATACATGTGTTCAGAATCATCAACAGGCGCATCGTTGATATCACCCAACTTCTTACCAGCTTTTGGTGAGGCCTCCTTGCTTTTGGAGGACTCCAGTCATTTATTTGCTTTAATAGTTTTATTTAAATTTGTCGTGGGTCTGTCCCGATGCCTATTTGAGACAATAGAGGCTTCATAGATAGACAATGTTAGAGGGTCTCTCGATATTTATCTTCAGATATTTTGTTAAATTATTACTGTTTACATTCAATATTCTCAGACAGTTCAGACATTAGTTTGACTTAAATGTTTCCCCTTCAGTTATTTAAAACTAAAAATACTTGAGTAAGTCTTCCACTAAGTAGTCAGTTAGGCCAAGGGTTCGCTTGGGGATCACCAATGGTTATTGAGTGCCGGCCACGTCCAGGGTGTAGGCTCGGGGGGTGACATATAAATTCTCAAATCCTTTGATCTAAGCACACTAAAAAATAAAGATAACTCAATAAGTGGTTCACACACTTCTTTGGACAACATACCAGGAAGTGCAAGAGGGATAAGAGTTTCTAGAAAAGGACCATTTAGTAAATCATGTTCCTAAAAGTAAATTAGTTTTACAGGAACTGAACAAAGAAATAACAAATGAGTTGGTTGTAAATTCAGACGCTTAAGAACATCTAATTGTTATGGCAGAACTGACGTTCCATTGCATTTAAGTAGTGGGAGAAATGTTACCAGACATAAGAAAATCTACTACCTCAAGTAATGGGAGTGATGTTGAGCATATTAAAGAACACTACATGAAGAAGTTGTTAATATTTCAATACCAAAAAATTTAGAAGAAAATATTAAGACTCAAGAAAATGTAAGTGTTATTATAGTAATAGTACTTAGTCATAGTGGGGAAATCATAACAAAGATTGTTTCGTTTTGTATGCATGAGAGGACATTCATGACAGAACTCCTGAAAAGAGTACACTCTTGGATAGTTTCATTATAAGGTCCCTCAAGATCTAGTACAAAATCAATTTGTTACGATGAAGCACTATTAGAAGAAATCGCATGAGAAAACAACTTGATTTTTAAAATTCTTTCGATAAGAATTAAAGAAATGAGTGTGAAAGTTGTAAATTCATTGTTAAGAGTGTAAGTGAGAGATTGTTAGGGTATATACTATTAATCATGTGTTTAGAAATAATGTTCTAACAACTTTCTAGATTAAATATCTAAGTGGGAGATTGTTAGGGTATATACTATTAACTATGCATTTAGATATAGTACATTATAACAATTGTGATGGTGAAAAGTCTAAGTGGGATTTTGTTGGGATATATACTATTAACC